TGGCCTTCGTCCGGAGACGTGTCGATGAGAGTGGCCCGTTTGGCCTACGTCCAGAGACGTGCCGATGAGTGCGGCCCGTTTGGCCTACGTCCGAAGACATGTCGATTGCATTTGTGAACACCCCATTGGAAAGAAAAGCTTGAACTTATATTGATGTATGTGTGACTACATTGCTTTACTGAACTAAAGAGATGAGTTGCAGGGGTAACATCAAAAGTAACTTGTCTTCAACAGAGGTGCCAAAGGCTTGCTCACCTGCTTGGAGCCAAGCTGGTAGGCTATGAGCTTCGTGGATAGTACATTCGGAGGTGATGGGCATTCCAGCGTCTTGGAACTTCCTTCCCTTAAAAGATGATGCCAGGATCGTCTTCCATGATTGGGTAACCGTTGACGGCTTGGGAGATTTGCTCTTGTTGCTTGCATGATCTTTCTCTTATGTTCCTCGATGGTCAGCTTGGGCTCTTAGAGTCGGCTAGGATCGTGCTGATCCGTATGACTTTTTTCGTGGAGGTTTGTTGGTAGCTGCGTCGCGATCTTTGATTTGATGGATAGCCCCTTTTGCAATGAATTTCTTGCAATGGTCGTCTCCGACTAGTTCTTCAAGGTTCTTTTTCCAGGAGAAACAGTCATTTGTGTAATGACTGTGCCCTTCATGGAATTCGCAGTATCTACTAGTATCCTTCTTCTCTGGGTTTCCCTTCAAAGGCGATGGTTTCTGCAACCAAGGCATGTTCTTTACTTGGGCCAGGATCTGCTGTATCGGGATAGTGAACTTGGTTTAGCTCTCAACTGTTGGAGCACCTCCCTGAGGCTGTAATCCATGCTTGCCTCCATCCTTGTCTGTTATCATGCCGTTTCTTTGGCTTGCCTGCTCAACTGGTTGATCGGCTTGCTTGGCAGCTTTCTTTGCGGCGGTCCGGTCATCATCCCAAAGTGCATAACGCTCTGTTGTCGCGAAGAATTATACTAGTGTTTGGCAGGGAGAGATAGCTCGTAATACAACTCACACTCAATTGGCAAGCCCTTTTGAAGGCTGATGACGCGATTCGATCGTCACATCCAATGATGTTTGCTCTTTCTGCTTTGAACCTCTTGATGTAATCTCGGAGGGATTCATCGTACTTCTTGCGCATGTTGAACAGGTGGTCAGGGTTCTTCTTGATTGCCTGGTAAGAAGTGTATTCTTTGGTGAAGACTTAAGCTAGCTCCTTGAAGCTGCTGATCGACCTGGATGGCAGGGTGTAGAACCAGTCTTGGGCTGCTCCTAGCAAGGTCATTGTAAACACCTTGCACATCAGCGCGTCGTTTTCCTTGTAGAAAATCATGGCACTTTTGAACTGCTTTAGATGGCTCTTGGGATCGGAATCCCCCTTGAAATGAACGAATGAAGGCATTGAGAATCTATTTGAGGGAGCAGTCTGCTCGATTTCGGTAGTGAAAGACGTAGGGTTTGCTTGGTCCACCTCTCTGGGTAGAGCATCTTCGAAATTTCCGCCAATCTTTAAGTTACAAAGTAGGTCTTTTACGAGCTTCTCGACTTCCTCTGCGCACATGGCTTGCCGATCATGTTGGCGACCCTCGTGATTCAGGCGGGGATGGTTGACTTCTTCGTTGACTTGAAGATGTTGACCTCCTTGGTTGCCCTACCCGTGAGGCAGATTGGTGGATTGAGCTTGCAAAGATTCCTCCACGAGTTGTCTCCGCGAGTTAGTTCTTGAGCGGGTTGGTGAGCGTCAGTCGTTGCATTTGTCACGCAATCATGCCCCCTTTAAGCCCAATCTTGAATGGATTGTCGATCGACTCAGAGTACGGCTTGCAGATGTCTGCGTCTCGTCTACCCGATCTCGTTCTCTCCCCAGCCAGTCTGTCTCTGACTGACTAGTCTGGGATCCCTCAAAATGCTCGCCAGTATGCTCACGGATCCTTCTCTCCTCGCTATGGGCTCCAAAGTTAGGGCCTTGATTCAAGTTGATCTGCTTGAGTAGTTAGCCAATTAGGTTGTTTTGGTCGCCGACCCTCTACGCGAGTTGATCAACCCGTGAATTAAGGCCCATTTGATTGCATAGGTCGGGTAAAGAGGTGTGGATTGGGCCCAATGACGTATGGGCTAGGGCTCCATTAGATGTGTACACTGGTGCATACGTCAAGTGTGGTTGCAAAGGAGGGAGTGAATGGATTTGCTCCAAGACTGAGGAATGGTCCGAGATGGCATTGAGGTGGTTATGAATGGTGGCACTGTCATGGGTGGCGGCACCGGCACCTAGGCCTTGCAGTTGCACGACGAAGGAGGCCACAGGGCTGTGTGGCGGCGCTGCAATTTCAGCAGCCACATGGCACGGCTGCTGCTGCGTTCCGATTGCTATAGCAGTTGTTTGGAGAGGTTGCATAGCTGCCAGAGGTGGCTGGACAGCATGGGCAGCCATGAGGTGCTGCGGGAATGCGCTGGCAGCCATGGGACGCTGCTGGAAATCATTGGGAAGCTGTTGGAAAGCGCTGGCAGCCATGGGAGGCTGCTGGAACTTGCTGGGAAGCTGCTGGAATGCGCTGGCAGCCATGGGAGGCTGCTGAAACTGGCTGGGGAGCTGCTGGAACGCGCTGGCAGCCATGGGATGTTGCTGGATCTCGCCTGGAAGCTCCTGGAACATGCTGGCAGCGATGGGAGGT